TAGTGAAGCATGAACGTTATTTTAATAAAATATATACATATATAAAAAAAACAATTTTTTATTCTTTGAACTTTAAACGTCTTTGATTTGTTATATAAGAGTAGAATAATTTTTGGTAGCAATGACGTCTTGTTGAAGATCTATGTTACGAAAAAAAAGTAACAATAAAATGATAATGTATTTGAGCTTGAGCAATCTCTTTGATTACTCTGTCAATGATAAAATTTAACCAATCAGAGCAGCTCTATGAAAAAAATTGGTGGTCGCAGCTCTAGGTTTTTTTGACTGAAATGATGATCATGATCAATTTTTTCGGCCAATCAAATCGTTCGGTTAACTCATTGAGGTAGGCGCTTGAAAACGGCTATAATCAATCATATCAGAAACTTAAATAAATTGGCTATCGGATATCAGAAATGACAGGTTATCGGATATTACTTATGGAACTGACATAGTGGACCAAATTTTAATCGTTTATGGCAGGTTATCGGTTTTGACAGAATCGGTTTTGGGAGGGCCGACAGTATTAAAATTTTGTTTTTTTTTATTTTAATAATTTTATCTTTATTTTATTAATTAAAAGCAATTTACAAATATGTTTTTAGTTGGCTAAACCTATATATAAACTTATTAACTATTATATTTCTGTACAAATAAAGATTTTTTTAGTCTGCCTTATTATTATCTCTTAAATTGTCAGGTTTCATTAATCGAAAAAGCAATAAATATTTGGGCTGGTCAAATTTTGGCTACAGAATTAGTTCTTTCAAATGAGTTAGTAAAATTAAGAGTTGTGAGTTCAAAAGACTCCTTAGCATTTCTGATGATGAGCTAAAGTTTTCAAATGGGTGGGTCACTAATTATAAAAAAAGAAATTCTTTACGCAGATATAAGCTTCATGGTGAAGCTGCAAGTGCACCTTTAGAATTCCTATTTAAAGCAAGAAAAAAACTTCAAACACTTCTTTTCCAATATGAATTAGAAAATATCTACAATGCCGATAAAACTGGATTATTTTACCAAGTGTTGCCACATTAAATGTTAGCAAGACAAGCCGTTGCTGGATCAAAAAAAGTAAAAAATCTTTAATTTTCTTTTTTTTTCTTTTTTTTTTCTGTTTAGAATGATTTTAATACTCATGAAGGTAAGATTCATCAGATATGTTGTTTCTCAAAAATGGTTTTGATAATCAGTATTCGGCATATTAAGTAAAAATGTTCAGCGTTCTAAAAAGCACTAATTCCTAACTTAAGCCTTAAACCTTAATCCTAAAGTTTAATTTCAACTTTAAAATTCGTGATAAAATGTTCTATGAATTATATAATAATAATTAAAAACATATTATGATGAATTTTGCCTCTAATAAATACTAAATAAACTCTTTCGTTTGATTTTTTTTTTTTTTTCCCTTTTGTTTTTTCTCATTTTTTCTTTTGTTTTCTTTTTTTTTCCTTTAATTTTTCATTTATTATATTATTACAGGATAAATTATGACTTACAATACTATTTATCATGAATGCAACTAGCTTATATAAACTTCGGCCCCTTGTTATTGGAAGTTCAAAAAAACCACAGAATTTTAGCGGTATAAAATTATCATAACTTCCAGTAACCTACGAGAATAATAAAAAAGTGTAGATGAGATTAGATATTTGGGAAAGGTGGTTACATTATATTAATACTGGCTTTCGTATTCAAGATAAAAATATTTTGCTTCTTGTAGATAATGCACCATCACATAGTTCTCCTGAATCGTCTAATGAAAAATATAATGATATGGATAATATGGATAATGATAGTCATCCGTTAGATTCTAAAAATAAAGATCCAGTAAATAACTCCTCTGGTTCACAAAATGATGACAATAGAAATGATGAATAGCAAGGTATAAGTAGTAAAATGATTGAAGAGCAACAAAGGCCATGCAGAAGACCTCGCAGAAGGCCACGTGAAAGATCTCGTAGAAGGCTTCGCAGAAGGTCACGTGGAATGCCACAAATTTCTTGTGCAGAATCTTCATGTCAATGAAATAAGAAAAAGCCTTCCAACACCCTAAAACTTTCAAATATTAGTATACATTACCTTCCACTGTGCATATTCAGCCGATGGATGCCGGTATAATTAAATCGTTTAAATCAAAATATAAACGCATGTATTGTAAATATATTCTCTGGCAATTCGAATCTGGTGTCGATATAAAAGAGTTTGTATAACTATTAGTATGACTAAGGGTGTTCTCAAGCAACTCCCTCAATGTGATTAGTTAGTGATAAGGATATTGCTCAAATTATTGTGATCAATTGAGTGCTGAATGTAGTAAACCAAAGGATAACTTGCTAAAATTTCATTGTGTGAATGCAGATTTTGAATTTTAACCAATCAAAGCAACTCAGAAAAAAAAAATGGTTTGCACCTCCAGATTTTTTTTGTAACCTCCTTGATTAATTTATTTAATTTCCGATCTATTGAATGAGATGCTTGAAAACATCCTAAAGCTAAGATCAGTTGAAGCAAAGTTTGAGTTTAATTAGAAATGTAAATTCTACTAGAAATACTTACATTCTCTTCATAACCTAACCTATAATATCAATCCTCAGCTTTAATTACAACACTTATTGTACTCTACTGTATTATCTCGAAATAATATTCAAGATGTTATTTTGAGATACACAATTTAAAAAGAACTAAGAATTACAGTAATTTGCTTAAATATTAAATTAATTCTTAGCTCATTTTAAATTAGGTATCTCGAAATAATGCCTAGGGGCATTATTTCAATTGATACAGTATTATTAATATTGTAGCGATATAATTTTTTATTTTTTTTAATAGAAAAAGCTAACTGTCAAAAAAGCAATTGATTTTATCACAGATTCATATGACAGGGTAAATGACACAACCATCCAAAACTGTTAACACAAGACAGGAATTCTCCTGAATGCAAATGAGTCAGAAATGGATGCCATAGATGAGTCTGCTGAAAATGATACTTTATTAGATAATGATGAAATTGAGGAAATTATTGCTAAGTTACCTGATGAGAATCCGTATATGCCTGAGACTTCTCAGACTGTAGCAACATATATACAAGTAGTTGATAAACTTATTGCTATGGAAGAAGTTCTTGGTAATAAAAAAATTATTGCTACAGTTCAAGCTGATGAGAATGAAGAGAAGCTAACTGAACAGGAAATTGAGGATGAAGATGAAGTGCCTGACCCATCTGTGACAACTGCCAAAGTATGTAATACAATGCAAACTATTATTCGCTATGAAGAACAGGAAAATTCAGAGTCAAATCTCACATTGAAGGAATTAGGATTTTTAAAAAAACTGCTCAAAGAATATAAACTTATATACAAAAAGTCAAAAAAGCAATCAAAAATTACCAGCTTTTTTAATTTCTAGGGTTCATACTCCCATGATTCATCCCCTTACGATTCATTCCCCCACGATTCATATCCTAAAAATTTATATTCTCAAGACCATTCACAGGATTCATATTTTCAATATTCATATTTACAAGATTCATACCCACAAGATTGGTACCTATATGATTCACTTCCCTCTTGCTCTCGAAATTCATATTTCTAGCTATATAAAAAAAAAAACTATAATTAGTATCTTTCTTAAACTATATCATATATAATTAGCATACCAATACTAAACGTATTGAATATGTTATATATAACTAAATTTTTTCATTTTAAAATAAAATAAAATAAAATAAATAAATAAAAAAAATGAAAATTAGAAAATTATAACAAGTAAAATGACATTGTTTAACTTAGCTTTTAAAGTCTATGGCCACCATAGCAGATAAAATTAAAGATAACCTGTTAAACTCAGTCAAATTTATTAATAATTGAAACTTAAATTTTATATAACAAGGTGAACCTGCAATAAATTTTAATATAGTGAAAACAGTTTTTACCTTAACATATTCTGCATAGCGGGTTTTATCATGTCTTATAAACTTTACCTTAGCCCTTAATCTATACAATTCTAAATTGCAGATTATTTTAGATCTCTTGATCGCTATGACAGATCTATAACATATGAGAGCCAGAATAAGGAATATAGATCTAGAATGTCAAATGCCATGTTGATTGTTGTATAATCAATTTCAAAAATGACTATGTATGTATGTATGTATATATATCACTGGGACTTCTGACATACTAATTAATTAAGGTATTGTAATACAGTATAAACTAATATATAGTGCAGATTTTATGTATAGATCAGCAAAATCGTTAAATTTACTAGTGAAAACTAGTGATTAAAAAATTGATTCATTTTACATATCAAATAGATTTTTTTAGTAATTTATACATCAAACAATTAGTTTAAAATAATTAAACAAAGTTACGATTTAAATTTTAATTAAATTAGTAAGAACTTTTGTAACATTGTTCGAATTAAAGAAAAATGAAATTGGCTTTGTAAAAAACCATAACTTTGTTTAATTATATTAAACTAATCATTTAACATATAAATTGCTAGAAAAAAATAGTTGGTACATTAGATGAATAAAATTTTTGATCACTAGTCTTCGCTAGTAAATTTAATGATTTTGCCGATCTATGCATAAAATCTGCACTATTTGATTAATTAGTATATCAGAAGCCCCAGTACATTATGGTGCAAGAAATCTAAAAACCACAATTATACTTTAGAGACAAGATATTATAATCTTATTTAAGTTAATATTTAATGTGTTGCTGTATTTATACTTTATATACAAGTTATTTGTTTATACTTTGTCTCTATAAGAAGTGATTGTAGTTTTTACATAGATTTCTTGCATTATAACAAAATGTAATAGTATAATTATTAAGTTACCTCTATATAATCACTGAATTTTTTTTTATTATAATAGTGATTATATAAAGGTTTTTTTATATAGTCACTTCTTTTTATAATCACCTGGATTTTGTTTCCCAAAGCTGTGACTATAACAAGATTAAACTGTATATATTTTTTTTTAGTATATAAAAATTTGCAATAATTATATTGTATATAATTTTCAAATGCATTGTAATATTATATATTAAAACTTTATTATTATTCTAATAGCAAACAAATAAATACATATTTGTAAAGTATATAATTAATAAATCTAGTTTTACTGTATGATTCTTTTTAGCAATTAACATTAATATTTTTTATTTCTAACCATATCAGCAGATCAGTGTAATTAGCCTTTTTTTCAATAAACTGTTATACAAAAATTTGCTCCTAAGTGACATTCAAAAACTAACAAATGAAGCACTTATTACAAATAACAAAAGAGCTTTTTTAATGTCTAGACAAGTTAAAAAACCAAAAAAACTTAATAAAAGAGCTATGCTAAGCTGTAGAAAGAAGTATTTTTATCATTTGTTAAAATACTCAAACATTTTAGAACGAATTAAATATTGTAAGGTGGGTTGGTAACTATCAAGAGTAAATTTGGAAGCTAATTTTCAAAAAAATGACCTTTTTAATATACTTTTGACTTATAATTAAATACATAAATTTCATAATGTTCTATATACTTAATTATAAATGCAAAGCTGGTTAAAAAGCTCGTTTTTGTAAAAATTCACTCTATAATAAATTTTCATATAAAATTTTTTTGATAATTCTCAATCATGATTGGTTAATTTACCCAATTACACTGATCTGCTGATATGCTATTTACTTTTATTTATAGTAACTTATTAAATCATTTATGTGAGAATGTATATAAGCACATCTTTAATTAGTATTTCTGCCTTTTTTTTTAATTGCATATACCTCACCTTATATGATTAACTTTTTCACACACAATACATAATCTTTTTTGGTGTCAATTAGATTAAATATTACTAACCTAAAAAGTAAGATCATAAAATTCATAGTTGTATATTGGATTCTGAACATAATGAAGATAATAATGCTAACTCAGTTAGCATAGAAATGCTGAAACTAGCCTTAAAAAGAATCAGGATACCTCAAAAAACTCAGGACTTTATAATAAATCTGTATGAAAACAGAGAAATGGAGGTAATTACAGGGCATGAAAATACAGAAAGATTCAGAGCTGGGAACGGTATAGATCAAGGAGAAGTAATCTCTCCTCTGGTTTGGAGGATATTTTATGATCCGCTGCTGACACATATACAAGAATGCAAAGAAACTGGCTACACTATAGAAGTAACATGGCCTAAAGACATAAGTAGAAATAT